TTTAATTATAGAAAAATTTACTTTTCTCCTCTGATTTGAAACAGCTTCTTAAATGCATTTTAGCTTATGTGACCATTTTTTACTTCTTTCCAATTTTGCCTCTGTTTATCAAAGCCATAACATTGTATATCTAGCTCATCTAGAAATTAAGCCTTCTCTTTCTTTGTTTTCCCCTTCTGAATCTTAAGAGATCATCTCAAAATATGCCATTGTTGAGACTCTAGATCATATCGATTTGAAACAGCTTCTTAAATGCATTTTAGCTTATGTGACCATTTTTTACTTCTTTCCAATTTTGCCTCTGTTTATCAAAGCCATAACATTGTATATCTAGCTCATCTAGAAATTAAGCCTTCTCTTTCTTTGTTTTCCCCTTCTGAATCTTAAGAGATCATCTCAAAATATGCCATTGTTGAGACTCTAGATCATATCTACACATTCTTGAAACAAGGAAGAAGCCATGCTACGCTTGTCTACCTAACATTCAACGTAGTGGGATCAAGTGACGCAGGATCCATGAAACCAAGTGTCATTTTCTAAGTCTCTTACACAGTGATACTCAGGCCAGCTAGGCCAAACCAGGGCCAGGGATGCTTTAAACAGAACACAATGGCACACTCAGAGATCCACTGTTGAAAACATAACTTCTATCTACATTGTTTGCAGAAAACGCTAATAAACATTCACTTTAAAAAGTATTTAACTTTTGAGTCTGCTGTCCGAGAGCAGAGGCATACAGAATATGTGCATCCTGGTTAGGAATGACCAGGGCAGACATTGTTGGCACTCTGCCCCTGAATCCCTTCTCCCTGTTCTATGTACCACCACCACCCCTTGTCCCCTCTCTCTGTTGGACAGTGTGGCTTGTTTGACTTCAGGAAACTGCTCATGGGCTACTGAAACCATATTGCTCATCTGCTCAGGAAGCTAGGCATGAGTTCTATTTTCCTTTGTGGTGCTGTAATGAAATATCTGAGCAAAAGTAACTTCAGTAGGAAAGGGTTTATTTGGCTTAATGCTTCCAAGTCCATTGTTGAGGGAAGTCAAAGGAAGAAGTCAAGGCAGGAACCTTGAAGTCAGGGCTGCTTGCTATTCCTGCAGCCTTACCTCCAACCAGGGAACTCACATACAGCTAAGTAAATACAGCAGAAACTGGGAAGGAATGTTGCTTGCTGGTTCACTCACAGGATCATGCTTAGAACAGAGAACAAGGGGGCCGTCCTACGTACAGATACCTATGGAATGCCATGGTTAGAAGGATCTTTTCTTTTACTATTCCCCTCTTTCATCCCTCCTCCCACACTCTGTTTTGGTCCAGGTCCACTCAGGAACTACTGCAGATGCATGGGGTCTATCTCACCAACTCGGGAAAATTTCCTTCAGAAACAGACAAGATATACTCTTTTTATACACGTCTCAAGATCCCAAAACACAGTAGTTCCTTAATCAGTGTTGTTTGTTCACCTGTAACCAACTAACCTCATCTCATTTTTAAAAGTTGAGTACATAATTTATCATCAAACTAGGATGTTTTGGGCACCAAAGAGAGGAAGCTATTAATAATTAAGTTCAGAGAAATTAATAAACTGAGACTGTCCCTGGGTAACTAGGGCTCCTGTTCACCCTACACATTTACCATGTTCAATAAAGGGCTTCCGAATGTGTGAGGACTCACTGGAGTCCACGAATGGGGGGAAACTCACATCTAGATCTTTGAGTGGCTGAGTTTAGACTCTGGGCCATAAGAGAAATTATGATAATAGTGGTTTTCTACTGTTGAGTTTTTCTCTGTGTTTTTGAGCTCTGAATACCGAAAGCATTGCATAGTTTTGAGCACTATTTGCAGCAGGTGTGGGCTGGAAATGTCAATGGACACACAGGTGGCTATGAACAAGATGATTCAGAAGCAGCTGTGCCCTTCTTAAATCACTCAGAATGGTGCCCATGTGATGTGCCATCTTGGACAGACCGCTGGAGACACCAAGAATCAAGAGCTGTGTGAACTCCCAAAGCTCTTTACATGCTCTGCTGACACCTTAACTTCAACCAGGAGGCATACTCACGATTTTCACAGTGCTGCCCAGTGTAGCCAGCTAGGCAAGCACACTTGTAAGATCCAGTTGCATCAAGGAGGCATGTGCCATCATGGAAACAGGGGGATGAGGAGCATGCTGGAAGAGAAAGGCATCCCTCAGTCCAATAGTGAGTCTATCTCCCCAAGTCTTGATAGACTACCTAAAACAAACATACAGGCATGAAATGTCAAATGATGCTGATACTGCTTGACATTTTTGAAGCCTGCAGAACTATGCTCAAGATATCTACACACAGTCTGAGAAGCATGAGGTAAACACACATAGGAGCATTATTACATTCATGAGAAGCAGCATCATGCTTGTTTATCTCCCATAGGGACTCCAGAAGCATCTTCTAATAGCCTTAGGTCATCTTGCCTCACATCCTGAGTACTAAAAGACAGTCACTAGAAAATGATCTTCATGACATTGTTGAAGGTGTACTCAGAATTTCCAAGCATGTATTCTATAAATATTTGGCCCTTGCAATCTTAATATGTGTTCAACTAAGTAAAAGTTATGAGCTCAAATATGCTGGGGGAATGTAGCTGGTATTCAATTCAAATACTGTGTCACTCTGAGTTGCTGTTTTCTCTGTGTTGAAACATTCTATCCAGAAAAGAGGAGGGAGGGTAACAAGGCTCACAAATTTCACATAAAACTTGCAGGGTTCAGGAAGCTAGAAGAGCTTACAGGACTCAGGAGGCCTCTCCCTGGGGTTATATAACCAATAAGGAATCACTGCAAGAGAGAAGAATCTTCACTATTATAGCTGCCAGTAAACTGCAAAGGGAACTCTAGTGATGTAACTTTTGGGAATTGTCACCTGTCCTTGGGTAGAGTTTCAAGGTGACACACCTGTCTGAGTCACCCATGCTCATGTAAGTAACCCCAATAAACATGATGCTTTACAAAGCTGATTTGGATGAAATTTTCCTTGGTCTATCATTATCCACTATATATAGGGGGAATATAAAAAAAATCCCCAGGAAATGCCACTCACCAGGTAACGGATCAGATTTCTTTGCTGCAGAACTTCTAAGTTCAACGGCTTAATAGTCATGTGAGGCTCTAAGAATACACATAATATTTGGTCTTTGAAAATCTTACTGAAGCTCAGAGCCCAAGATTTACAGAGCATCTAAGGGACTCTGGTGGTGGTGGTGGTTGGAACAGATTCTACAATCCCCCATTGGCTCTAGAATTCAAACACTTGGTCAGCTGGTGGCATTTTTGTGGAGGGCCATGCAACCTTTAGGAAGTGTGGCCCTGATGGAGGAAACATATCACTGGGGGTGGGCTTTGAGAGTTCACAGCCTTGCCCCACTTCCAACTTGTGTTTCTCTCTCCCTCTCCCTCTCCCTCTCCCTCTCCCTCTCTCTCTCTGCCCCTGGATAGATACAAAGATACAAGGAGCATTCTAGATTAAAGTTACATAAAGAAAAGTGTATAATGACTATAACTTGAAGCATAATGCAGCTAGTTTATTCTGGAAAAGCAGAAGTGTTATGAGGTAGTTAACAAAAGTACAAAGTCACAGCTTAATGGAGAAAAGAGAGAATAATACAGGTCCTACAGGGCAGGTTTTGAAATACAGGTTTGGGACAGGTATCCTTAACCAGAGGGAATAGCTTGAGTACAAGCAGACAGATGGGTATGTTTGATGGACAAGAGGTGGCACTGCCTGTCCATAACTAGCTGCCCAGACAATCACTCTGTCTGGTTGTCTTAAGCACCCACGGATGTTTCTTGCCTCACTTCCTCAGTAGGTAATGCAGGGTATCATCACTGAACGTGGGTCTGGCCACAGGTTGATCACACTCCAGGAGCATCTGTCCCTGCACAGCACCATGGAGCACAGCATCGGAAGGAATCAGACACTCAGATTATAAGGGGCAACTGTCCAGAGATGCTGTAAGCACCATCTTCGAGGATGGGAAGAGTGGACAGCAGGGCTGCTGGTCTTTCTTGCTGAACATACATGACTGAAAGAATCCAGATTCTATGATCTCTCACCTCCTTCCCAAGACTTGCACATTAACAGGATGCCCTTAGGGAGAAGGGCTAATCAGAGCACCACTGTACACACATTCTTTTCTTTCACTACTATTATTCAGTAGTTCTTAAAACTGACTTTTAAGCCTAAGATTGCTGTGTAAAAATTGATGCAATCCAGACTCACAATACAGAGATATGGGGTGATTCCTTAGAATTCAGTGTTTTGTTCGGTTGGAAAAATCCTACCTCTGAATATGATCAAAGAAGGCAAGAATTGAAGTTGAACTTAGTGCGCTCAAGCAAATGACATTTGACACTGTAGTTTAAGACTTTTTAAAAACTTTTTTTTTATTATTGACAGTTCTATAGCTGTATGTAACATATTTTGGACATTTTCACCTCCAGTAATCTCTCTCATCCCCTCCCACCCCCACTCAAACCATTCCTAATTCTTCAACAAGTCTCCTTTTTCACTTTCATTTCTTTGTGTGTGTGTGTGAGAGAGAGAGAGAGAGAGACAGAGAGAGAGAGAGACAGAGAGAGACAGAGACAGAGAGAGAGAGACAGAGAGACAGAAAGAGACAGAGACAGAGACAGAGAGACCCACTGAGTTTAATAGGGTTTCTTACATGAGCATGGGTGGGTGTTATTTACTGGAGCGTGGGCATGTAGTGTAAGACTTTAGATACCTATTTTACAAAGACATGGGTCAAGCAGTTGTTGAGCATTTACTGTATACTAGACTGCGCAAACCCCTTCTTCCAGAGCTCCTTTGAGAAGCAGCCTATATTGTCTTTCCTTTATTACTACTTAAGAAACTGAGGCCCAGAGAGGCAGAAGAGTTTTCTCACAGTCACACAGTTTCATTACAGAGTCAGTACTTAATTATGAGAGACCCCCTTCATGTGATCTCTAGAGTCAAATGCTTGCACAGGGATCCTAGGCTCCACCCTCATACCTGTGTGGCCCTAGGTACATAACCCAGCCACCTCTACTTCCTCTGTATAAAGAAGTGTAATTCCTAGTTTGTCTCATCATTGCTCTCTCTTCTCTCATTGCTTCTAAGAGCCCAGCATCCTCAGTTTCAATGAAGATATTCAAGGAGAAAGGGAGAGAGCTAGAAGGGCAATCTTACAGAGCAAGCCATCCACAACCACATTTGTCTCTGTTGCCTTTACCTGTGATCTCCTCAAAGATGGCATGGAAGCCATCAAAGTTCTTGGAGCCATCAGAGTGGAAGAGGACGTGGAGTGAGGAGCCCGTGCTTCTGATGGGAGCTGGCCGCTCATTACCACAGAAACGCTTGATAATGGGGCTATCACTGTTGTCACCATCACGAACCTCAACATAATCATATTGGCACATGTAGTCAAACTCCAGGCTCAACATGCCAAACCTGCATGGGGAAAGGGCAACAGAAGGAGCAAGTGGACCCAGTTCTAGCCTGAGACCCTGGGCATATGTCCAGGGTCAGATGATGACCTTATGGAGATAAACTTTGATTTAGAAGACAGACAATAAGCAAAGACACACACACACACACACACACACACACACACACACACACAATCAAAAAAAACAAGGAGCACTAATCTATATGAATAAAATAAATTAGATAAGAATACAGATTGGTTCAGACAGGGAAAGAAGCATCACCTGTTAGGAAGCTCTCTCTGAGAGTCTGATATCTGAGCAGATGTTTAAATAATGCAACAAAGCCAGATCTGTGAAGGTCATGGATCAGAGTCCAGGAAGGGGGATCTGTTAGTGCAGAGGTCCCAGGGGTAGTAATGAGCGTGGCATGTTCGAGAAACTGAACGAACGTCAAGGATACCGCAAGACTGTGAGTGAAGGGGCCAGTAAGAAGTAAAATCACAGGGAGAGCCAGCATTCCTGCTTGCTGGGAGCTCAGGTTTCACTACAAGTCCAGTAGGCAGCCACCAAGAGGTTTCAACAAGAGGAGAGCTGGATTTCAGATTCTTGAGGACCACTGTGGCCATTCTGAAGGGAAGAAATAGTAGAGCTGGCAAAGGTGGAAGCTGGGAGACCAGTCAAGAACCAGGACTGCGTCTCAGTGAGAAACAGGGGTGCTTCAGTAGAATGCTGGCTGTATGGGTACAAAGGGATGTGGGTGGCCTTGAGATGGTTTTACAGACAAGAGAATAGATTTTTACAGCAGTGTGGATGTGGTAATTGATAGAAAGGGGTCATCAGGGATGACCACTGAGCTTTGGGGCTAAACATTCTACATATGCATCCAAGCATTTCCGTCATTACCATCATCCCTGGCCAGGAAGCCCAGTTTTAAATAGATGAAATGAAATCATGCTAACATGTTTCTAAATCCTCCACCATCTTATTTCAGGAGAGTTTTATTTTTGTATCCTGGGTCTTAGAGAAGCTCTGAAGTAACCATTTGTCCTAGTCTTTGAAAGGCCGGAATTTAGCATTTAAAACCTGTTTTCTCATCCCCACAGACCCAGTCCTGAGTCCATGAAGCAGCGGAGGATAGCCCCTCACTCTCTTCTTGAGACAGCCTTCCTCTAGGAAAGCCCAATCATTAAGCCTCATTCCCAACCCCAGATCCTCAAGATGTGGGGGCACTACATACCAAGTCCAGTTTGGATGAGGAGGACTGAGAACCTTGTTTTGCTTCATCCTTTCAGTTTGGGGACTATGCTGCCCCTCTTGAAGGGTAGAACCATTCAAGAAGCCAGAGTTGGTCCACTCGGAAAATACTTACTAAAAGCTTGCAGCCTAGAGGATCAGGGATTTTAATAACCTACACCCTCACTACCAGCAAGAGAAGGACAAAGTCCTTAGAAATTCAGCTTCTTTGGAGAGGGAGAAGAGAGGTGTTTCTAAGAGAGAAAAAATACACTAGAATAGAAAAACAGTGTTAATGTTCCATCTTTGTCACCAGGACACAGGACCCATCACTGTTTCCTTATAGCCTCAGACCCTTTATATCTGGACTAGGCCCCTTACCTCAACTGGATAATGAACCCAGGTCTGGCGTAAATGGTCCACTCGCAGTGAGCATTTAAGGGATAGCTCTCCAACAGAATCTGACCCTTTGGAGCTCGAAGAACCTGGCCACATCCTGAAAAGAGAAGAAAAGATTAAGACATAGAAAATGGGGTCAATTCTCTACAAATATTTCTTAAGTTAGTCAATTTGCATAAATTAATTCACTTATTCCACCCAGTAATATGGGACAGAGTTGCACCATCCCAGCCTTCCAGTCTTGTCACTGAGAGGCTGAGGTTCAAAATGACTTGTGTCTTATATCATCTGACTCTCCTCAGCTCTACTCACCTCCTGCTGCCTCCTACAGTAGGCTCAGAAGGTAGACCCTCCCATAGCATTTATCTCTCCTTCCCATCTAATTAGACAACGTGTATTCTCTGGCCAGTTATGTATTCATTCTGTGACCAACTATATGGCAAATGTCTCCTTAAGGCATGAGTCTAGAAGGGAGAAATGATGTTCAACCAGTTGAACTGGATTGATGGTTTCGCATTGTTTTCTCCCCACAGCTCCCAAGTCCTCTTGTTCTAGCTCTCATTAGGACTGCCAATAAAAAACATAAAACAGAAACCATGGATAACAGACAAGTTCCTGGCTGAAGCAGAAGCAAGGATCCTAAGGCCTCTGTGCTCATGCTTCTCTGGTCCTTTATTTCCAAAGAAATCACTAAGATGTGAAAATCACTGAACAGTAATTCTTCAAATTCTATATTTCCTAATGCAAAAGTATACCATATTAAAAAAAAAAAATTGGGGGAAATGTCTTCAAGTAATTTTTTTGGTCTTTTTGAGACAGGGTCTCCCTGAAGCCCCAACTGGCCTGGAACTAGCTATGTAGACCAGGTTGGCCTCAAACTCAGAGATCCACCTGCCTCTGCCTCCCGAGTGCTAGGATTACAGGCGTGCACCACCATGCCGAGCAGTCTTCAAGTAATTTTTTAAGAAAAAGATCATTCAAGTTATGTAAATATATGGTATTATTTACCTGAGTTTGACAAATTATGAACCAATGGGCCAAATGGAGCCTATCCTGTTTCTGTAAATAGTTTTATTGGCCTTCGTATGGTGATGCTCACTTGTAATCCCAGCACTCTGGAAGACTGAGGCAGGAAGTTTGTGAGTTGAATCTCCAGTTGAATCTCCACAAATCAAAGTATTTATCTAGACATTCATAGGAAAAATTGATTTACTCCAGCTCTATTCAGGAATCCAGACATTCTGAACTCAGGACATGCAGTTATACTCCATACACCAGCCCCCTGAAAAGTATAACATCACAGAGCTAATAAGAACATATTAGTATCAGTGGTACTCTCCCATGCACAATGACAGTAGAAATATGGATACAGTCTTAGGAAAAGAGCCCAAACCCCACTTTTGACAGGGTGTGAAGCCCAGGGCTCCACACTTTTGTGAAAACTATCGTTAAGATATCCAGTCTGTCTTCTCACTGAGATTTGTGCGGCTGCTGCCCTGCTCCACACATGAGAAGTGTTACCTACTGCTGGCCACCTCGGGCCGCCTCAGGTCCCCGTGGAGTCCCAGTTTATCCCCTGGAATGGCTTTCTTTCATGATACAACTGCCGTTGGTTCATCCACACTTCTGTAAATAACCCCAAACCCATACTCCTGTAAGTAACCCAAATAAACTCACTGGTTCACCACATTAGACTTGGGCAGGAATCATTTATTTGATTGGTCCTCAGTGCCCTATCTGACATGAACAAACATTTGTTCACATCTTCCCAGGAAAGTCACACAACACGGTGAGATTTTCAGCCTTGTCTCACTGATGACATGACAAACCCTCTTGAGCCCCATCCTGTTCCCACTCATCTACTGGCTCACTCTGCTCCAGCCTTCTTTCTGGCCTAACACTGGGCCTTGAACTTGCTCTTCCTTTGACCTAGAAAGCTCATCTTCTTCCATCTCTCCTTCCTTTAGGAATTAACATCAGCTGCCACTTATTCAAAGAACCCTTCCTTGACTATACAGTCAAAAGAGGTCCTCCAAATTCTACAGTCTTGTCCTTATCCTGTTTGGATTCTTTAACATACAATGCAGGCTGAAATTATTTGAATTTACCTTTGCTAGCTTGTACACCTGGAATGGTACCTGTAATATTTGTTGAATGAATAAATGATGATGCTATTATAAGTTGGGCACTGACTGAGGGCCTTGCAAAGCTTATTTCATTTAATCCTCAGGATAAACCTAGGGAAATATCATCTTCCCATTTTCCAGATGCAGAACACCAAAACTAAGTAAGGACCATCCCAAGCTCAGATGGCCAACAAATCAGAAGACCCTGCAAATCTCTGTCCTAATCATTAAATCTAGGAAACTTTGGAGTCTTTCTGTTCTAGTTTGTTTTTCCATTGAGGTAACAAAATACACTGACCAATACCAACTTTGGGAGGAAAGGGTTTATTTGGTTACATCTCCGGGGTCACAGTTCATCAAGGAGCCCAAGGTAGAAACTCAGGGCAGGAACCTGGAGGCAGGACTGAAGCACAGGCCATGGAGGAACACTGCTTTCTGGTTTACTCCTCTGGCCTGTGTTCAGCTTGCTTTCTTATATAGCATAGGCCCACCTGCCCAGCGGTGGCACCACCCACAGTGGGCTGTGCCCTCCCACATCACCCAGTAATCAAGAAGATGCCCCACAGACATGACCACAGGCCAGTCCAATGGAGGCAATTCACCAATTGAGGCTCCCTCTACCTAGGTGTGTCAAGCTGACAGCTAGAGCCATCTAGCACACTGTCCTTTGAAGCTCAGTTTTATCCCCACCAGCTATGCAGCCTTGCATTGTTACTTACCTCTCTAACCCTCAATAAACCTGAGTCAAATGTGGATAAAGTGGCACCTAGATCAGATGGTTTGTGAGGTTCAAACAGATGATTCATGGAAAACCTGCAGCAGGAAAATCAGTAAATGTCAGCTGTTGCTACTGTATGGCTTAGCAGGGATTTGAACATGGATCTGCCTAGTCTGGGTAGTGGGTCTGGGCTGATACACTGCACTGCCTTAGGGACTTCCTGATCCAGCCCTCTCCTCCCACACCACCAGGAAGCAGCAAGATTTCTCCATCTCTCTCAGAACTCCATCTGTGAAGTGCCCTCCCCAACTAGAAGCACACATTCTTCCTGCACACCTCACACTTTTTCTCGCCCACATCTGCCCATCTGCTGCAGGGCTAAGGAATTGCTACCACTGGGTGTGAAAGACAAAAAAAAGCAGCCTCCCAGCAGAGCCTCCACCCCTCAAAGCCTGGCAGCTTCCCAGCCTGCAAGGTGTTAAAATCCCAGCTCCCTACCACCCAGCTTCCTCCTAGGAGCACCAAGTTAGAACCAGCATGAAGGCTGCCAGCCTGCTTCCAGTTCCTTCCCTCATATGGAAGCTGGAATCTGACAGCCTCTCCATTCCAGTCTCCCTGGTGAGCCCATTGGGGCTTGCACCAGCTTGGGGGTTTCGTGCAGCCTCTGGAGGACTGGGAGCCCCCCAGCCCCAGCCAGGGAATGTCGGATGACTCGTGCCTGCCAGTCCAGGGCTGGCCTCCAGAAGAAGCCAGGATAGCAAATATATGCAGGGTCTGGGCTCTTCATCATGTTGTTCCCTTCCACTCTGAAGGGGAAGGCAGATTCAGTTCCAACATGGGGAACAACGTCTGGCCAACCAGAGACAAAGAGGCTACTTTCTGGAAATGTACTTAGAGAGGGGGCACTGGGCAGAAAGGAAGAGACGGGATCCTACTCTCTCCCTCACCAGTGGCTCCTTGAGGGACTTTCCCACTCCTGCCTCTCCTCTGGAGTTGGCTGCTCTGGGTGCAGAGACAAACTAATATACCTCTCTGTCCAGGACAGAACAGTGAACACAGCCAGCATCCCTGCCAAGGAAGTGCCACTGGCCAACGGGGCAGGTGGTCTTAAGTTGAAAGACTAGAGTGGGCTCAGAGCCCAGAGAACATGCTTAGGTTCCCTAATGATGTTTTGCTATGTCTCTGTGTGTGTGTGTGACCAGACCCTCCCTGAGGCCCCCAAATTCTGAACTCATTCCTATCCTTGCCCATAGCTACAGGCCAACATAAGAGGGACAGCTGGACAGACCTTGTTTCTATTCTACAGAGCTGAAAGGAAGTCTTCACTAATTTCCAAACTAGTAAGAGAGCTGGAACTTCCCTACAGAAATGAACACCCCAAACACTCAGAGAACTCTCATCGTCTCTAGCATGACGAGTCTGTGGCTGGACAGAGACATAACACATTTCTGAGAAGTGGCTTAGCTTTGTTTTTCTTTAATCTTTCCTCTTAGGAAAGTAAGACTCAGAGAAACTGCTCTGAGAGGCACTGGTGCTTGTTGTGCCCCTTTCAAAGATGACTTGGGAGGTGGGGCTCGGTCCACAATGACAGCTTGAGCCTGAATTCCTGCTCAGCCATTTCCTGTGACCCTTGGCAAGCTCACAGTCTTCAGAGCTGGTGCTTCTTATTTGGAGATAAGACTAATAATCGTATCTATCATCAGGATTTTTCTTATTTGAGGAATTAATTAAATGTGATTTTAAAACACATTTTTAGTAATTCTCTTTCAGAATTTCACAGAATGTATTTTGATCATATTCAGATCCCTCCCCTACCTCCACTCCACCTTACTAACCCACCCACTCCACCCCCACTTCACGTTGGTTTTAAAGCTTATGGAGCCTAATTTGTGTTCTCCACATGCTCTTAGGTGTGGGTACAAGCCATACAATTTGGTCAACCTACCTGGAATCACACCTTGAAGCTGATTCTCCCTCTCTATCAATTGCCAATAGTTCCTCAGCTAGAATAGGGGCTTCTTGGCCACCTTCCCCCTCCATGTTGAGGTTTTGTCGGCTTGAACTTATACAGGCCTTGTGCATACTTTCACAATTCCTGTGAGTTCATGGGTGTAACTGCTCTGCCTTCTGGAAAACACTGTTTCCTGGTATTCCTCCACCACCTCTGGATCTTACAATCTTTCCACCCCTATCTTTTACAGTGATTCCTGAGCCTTTGGAGGAAAGGATGTGATATAGGTGCCCCATGCAAGG